TATATATATAAATAATGTAATTGAAGGGAAAACTTTACTAAAAAATAATCAATCAAATTTCTTGATAATGATTAGACATTTGAAAAGCTGCTATCAATAATAAGGTTAAAAAAATAGGTACAATAAATAAAAAAAACTTTCAAATTTTTATTTACTAATTAGAAAAGTTAATATTTTATATTCTTACCATTAAAAAAAAAGATTAGGTAGAGTATAACTTGAAGAACAAGTCTTTAAGGTTTTAGTTTTTAAACAGAAAAGTTAATATTTTATATTCTTAAAATGTTAAATACATTTTTATTTAACATTTTTTTATGGAAGGGTTATGTTTATATTAAAAAGAGAGATTTAAATTTTTTTTTGTGAGTTAGATTGTATAATTATTATCTCCATCGTTTGTGAATACTTACAATATGATTTTGTTTGACATAAGCATACAAATATTATTGTCAATATTTCAGAGTTCTTGATTTGTGATTGACAAGTGTATTGCAATAATATTTTTTGAAAGAGTAATGTTGTTGTTCATGAATGGGGAGTCAGACTTAATTCTGGGTTTGTTAAATGAAAAAGTCCTCCAAATTTCATTTTGTATGAAGTTGGTTAAAATTTCATCTAGTAGTCTTTATTTATTTTTATTTATTAATATAACAAGATTAACATCTTTTTATCAAGTATAAAAATATTTTGTTTAAAATTTCAAAATTAGAAAACTAAAAAAATAATCATTATGATAACCAAATCTCTTATTTAGTAAGAGATTTATTATGAAGGGCAGAAGTATCCGAAGTCAATTGTCAAAATGGGAAAAAATCCATAATATGGAAAATTATATTTAATAATCATAGATAATTTATTTTGACTGTTTATGAGAAAACGTTGAGGATATCGATGCAGCATGAGCTATTGACGTGTTTCCATCTCATATGAAATTTTGAATTTCTGGAAGACAGATAGTGATTAAGTCATGACGTGTGACAAATTTAACTAATAAACTAGTAAAAGTTGGTAACATGAGTAATTCAGATAAAAAAAATTGCATCAATAAGCACATGGGTTAAATATTTTTTTATTAATTAAAGTTTATTACAAAATATTAAAAAACCACAGGATTTATTCAATTATTAGTAAAAAAAATAATTATAATCAAAGTTGTCAATACATTGACACATTTTTTTTTAATAAAAAGAGTTTGATGTTCAATTTCTACATTTAAAAGTGGTGGAACAGAAAAACATTTTCAATACTATCGGATAATACATTAAACAATGGTAAAAACATTTCAAACACTATATACGACGTGAATAAATTTATATATAAAATGATAATGGAAAATATAACTTTATTTTTAGAATTTGTGAAACCCTTTCCTTTTCTTTTCTTTCCCAAAAACCCTATCTTCACTCACTTTGATTGATTCACCTTCTTCTTCTCAACTCACTCTCACTCTCTCCTTTCTCCTATTTGCTGATTTATCTCCTTGTGGTGACCTTGGTTTTGAAGGTGCTGATTCAAGTTTGGGGCAGAGCTAGCTGAAGTTGTCTCTTTTCTCCGTTCGTTTTCAAACTCCTTCTTCTTCCCTTCGTCCTCCATTTCCCGAAGCTCGGATCTTTTCCCCGAGGTAAGGGAAGCTAGTTATTTTACTGTGTTTGGCTAGGACTGAGTGTGTATATTCATTTGTTGTTGGATGATTGCTGGCTTTTGAGTAGAGATGGCTGAAAAATGGGATTTGGGGTTTTTCGGAGTTTTGAGAAAAATTTGGGGATCTTCTTATTTTGTTGTTGCATGTGTAAAAAGGTAGTATTTTTGGACTATTGGATGACAATGTGGTATTTTGAACCGATTGCATGTGGAGTTTTCTGATTATTTTGCAGATTTTTGAAGAGTTTTCGAAAGTATGAGGTTTGCTGCTGAACTCACGCTGAGCGCAGTTCTTCACGCCGGGCGCGTGGCCACCTGAGGGCAGCATTTAGGCAAGCCCGCCGGGCGCAAAGATGTGTGCGCAGGGCGTGCTTGAACATGTTAGCCTCTAGATGGCCCACGCCGGGCGAGGGTTGAACCGCGCTGGGTGCGATGTTAGTTGTGACTCGTTTTTGGGCTTCTGGCATGGCGCTGAGCGCGATTTTGGCCGCGCTGGGCGCGGGGACTCCTTGGAGTCTCTGCCATGGGAGGCGCCGGACACAATTCAAATTGCGCTGGGCACGAGACCAAGGGAGGTCTCTGCCTTCCCCACGCTGGGCGCGGGTTTGGGCACGCCGGGCGCGAGAGACTCCTTGGAGTCTCTGCCTGGCATGCGCTGGGCGCAATTATTTACTGCGCCAAGCGCGTGAGAGCTTTGGGCTCTCTGGTTGAGTCCCGCCGGGCGCGGGCATGCTTGCGTCGGGCGCGCTGGCCCCTGGTGCTCTCTGGATGTACTGTGCCGGGCGCAACCATGAGTGCGCCGGGCACATAGATGATAATTCATTATATGTTGTACAATGTTGTTTTATGCTAAGTGGAATTGAGATGGATGAATATGATGTGATGACTAGTAGATAATGTTGTTGCTGATGTTGAGTTGTATCAGTTGTATATTGTTGTAAGTTGATGTGTTGTGTTGTATGTTGATTTTTGATGTTGTAGGCCGCAAGGCTGAGTTGTTGTAGGCCGCAAGGCTGAGTTGTTGTAGGAGATCTCCGAGTTGATATGCGTGACGACGCGTTGTATGCTTATTGATGATTATGCTGTAAAATCGATGGGATGTATGTTGATGAAGTGTTAATAGTTCTAGTTGTTTATATTACTTAAATCTTCCTATATGTTGTTCTTTTTATGCTAGCTTACCCTTTTGTTGTTTTCATGTGGTTGAACTGCAATGATCATACTATATATGAGAGCAGAGCAGGGATAGGTGGTGGCTAGTGGTGAGTCTGTAGCTGGCAGGCGGAGCTGGCTCCTTTTGATGTTTTGTTTGTTTCAGCTACTTGGTATAGTGGCATTGGATGTATTTTTGTATTTGTACACCCTAATTCTAGTCGGATTGGAACATTTGTATATATTTATATTCTAGATCCTATATTTATATACTCGTTCTATTCTGTCTAGTGTTTCCGGTGCACTGTGATTATGAGTGTAGTGGTCAGCCGGGTCGTTACAGAATTGATAAACCCAATACTTTTATTTATGTAAAAAAAAATCCTATTTTTTTTCTTCAAATTTTCTTACTTATTTTGTATGATAAATATTATGTGCTTTTATATTTTTAAGATATTGACTACAATTAATTTTTATTTAATATTTTCTTTATATGAAAACAGAAAAATTTATAATAGATTTTTTTTTTTGTAAATTTTACATTTTTAATAAAATTTAAAAAATAAACTGCTATTTTATCCCTCACTTTTTAGAACATTGTCATCCTAGTCCGTAATATTAAAAAAAAAAAAAAGCAAATAAATTCATGACTTTTACTATTGTTACTGACTTTTATAACTATCATCATTTAAGTTCTTGACATATATAAATTTATCAAGATTATAGTCTTTGACTTTCGTAAAAAAGAAAATTCATCTAGATCACAACAAAAGCCTATATGACTAACCAATAAAAAGTAAAAGATGTATTTACTATATTTTTAGAGTAAAGATTTGTAGATATAGCTTATACCAAATTTTATATTTTAATAATTTTTTACTAAAATAAATTTAATTAATTTAACAATTGAATTATATGATATAATATTTAACATCATGTACATGAAATTTTATATATTTTAATTTTTTTTATATATTATTTAAAAAGAATATTTATACATATTTTAAATATTATATTATATATTAAAATAAGATAATGAGATAAAATATTAAATAATTTTAAAAATATTTAAATTTTAATATACATAATTTTGAATATAATATTATATAATTTAATAATTTAATCAATTAATTTGTATTATATAAAAATTATTAAAAATATAAGATTTGATAAAAATTATTAAAAATACCTCATATTTTTAATAAAACAATCAATAAGAACTAACGTAAAACTACTAAGATTAGCTTAATGATTAGGACACATACTCCAATAATTGAGAGACTTTTTGAATAATAATTAAAAATAAAACATTTAAGATTTAGGTTCAAAATAAATAATATATCATAACCATAACATAAAAGAAAAAATATCAACTTATAAAACACACGCATTTTTCAATAAAATAAAATAATCCATCAATATCTATTTAAATTTTAATTAATGATAGAAGATCTAATAAAAAGAGTTTCTTGATACCATTTTCTATTTTTGTAAAATCCACAATATTCTCTTTCTCATGTTCATCATCAAACTTTAATGCCAACTCATTGGTGATTCATTATAACATATATCATGTCATCCACTTCCCCTGATGTGTAGATGTGTGTGTTAGAGGGAAGGAAGAGGTTGACATTAACAAATCATAACATAACATAGCATTAGCAGAAGAAGAGACACAAAGAAAGAAAAGATGAGTTTGAGGGAAGAGAATGAAGAGGGAAGGGATCTGAAGAAGCCATTTCTTCACACAGGAAGTTGGTATCGTATGAGTGGGAGGCAATCCAGTGTGTTCGGTTCCACCCAGGCCATGCGTGACACCTCCATCTCTGTCTTTGCTTGTGTTCTTATCGTTGCTTTGGGTCCAATTCAGTTTGGTTTCACTGTAAGAAATGAAAAACACTTTTTTCTTGCAAAGTCAATGGCAAAAGCAACACTAACTATCCATGATTTTGATTATTTTGTTGCAGGCTGGTTACACATCACCTACCCAATCTGCTATTATCACTGATCTTGGCCTCTCAGTTTCTGAGGTGTGTATGACTCATGAAAGAGAAGCTGAGAATGAGTTTATGTTAATTTGTTTGGTTTGTTCAATTTTGACTCCTTCTTTTGTTGTGTGTGTTTCACAACTTGATTGTTTGGTTGGGCAGTTTTCTTTATTTGGTTCTTTGTCCAATGTGGGTGCCATGGTTGGAGCAATAGCTAGTGGCCAGATTGCTGAGTATATAGGGCGTAAAGGGGTACCCTTTTTCTCTTTTTCCTTGTGTGTACAATTATGATTTTCCTTTTATTTCAATTTTTGATTTTGAGGGATAAGTCTAACTCAATGGTCAACGGGCACTTTCAATTTCTTGTCTGCAATTGCAGTCTTTGATGATTGCATCCGTTCCAAATATTATTGGTTGGCTGGCTATCTCATTTGCAAAAGTAAGTTTGAATAATCTTATATTTCATTTTCCCATCATTGTGAATGATATAACCAGTAGGATAAGGCTTTTTTGTTGTTAAATTTCGGTTATGATCCTGAGCTTGTCTTGTTGACATGTTCTTCATCTTTCAGGATACTTCTTTTCTTTATATGGGAAGATTGTTGGAAGGGTTTGGCGTAGGGATAATATCTTACACGGTAATTTTAAAATGTTTTTGCTTTTGTTAGTGTGGATTATGTTGTGGGGTAGTATTATTGAGCGTTTAAACTTCAAATTCACAGGTGCCGGTATACATAGCTGAGATATCACCTCCAAACTTGAGGGGGGGTTTGGTTTCAGTTAACCAGGTTGGTTGATACCACCAAGATTGATGATTTAATGCTAGATATTAACAGTTTTAACATTTCCTAAACTAGTGATCTATATTTCTTTTCTGCATAGCTCTCTGTCACCATTGGAATTATGCTGGCATATCTGCTTGGGATTTTTGTTCAATGGAGAATCCTTGCAATTTTAGGTAATTCTCTTTAAGACTTGGCAACTTAGTAAATTACTCCATGCCTTCAAATGAATGGATTTATATTTCTTGTTATTATCAAATGTCATAACACTAGATCTGGAGATTTTTAGTTGTAATTGATTAGAGATATGACCAATGGTAATCTTTACCTTACAAGTTGATTTTAAGGTTGAGTCTGACTAGAAGTCTAGCTTTTAGAATGGTACTAGATTCTATCCTAGATTTGTATGTGCCCACCTGCATTTGTCCATGCTTCGTAAGAGAGTGTGTTGAGATTCCACATTGACCATAAATATGACCAATGTAGTCTTTATGATAAAACAAGACAATTTTCACCTTACAAACCTTAACTCAATTTGGTTATAACTAAACCACAATCACAATGTGTGAGGGGGTGTTGGTATTCGGCCACCTGCATTTGTCCATGCTTCATGTGTGGGGGGTTTTGAGATGTCACATTGACTATATATTTAGTCCTTATAATAAAGCTAGCCTTGACCTTAAAAACCAATTTTTTGATATTGAGTTAGACCTTGAGTTAAAACCTTCCCAACAAGTCCACTGCTTTCAGATCAACTGATGAATAAAGAATTACATTTTTGATTTGTTGACCTTGATTAAGCACCTTCATGTACTTACTCTTGCAGGAATTTTACCCTGTACATTATTGATACCTGGCCTGTTTTTCATTCCCGAGTCTCCCAGATGGCTGGTAAGCTTTGTGAATCAGTATTCTTGAGTGTCATTGAAGATGTGTTGATAGTTTCTAAAAGTGAATTTGCTTTGCTCTATATAGGCAAAAATGGGAATGACAGAAGAATCTGAAACTTCCTTGCAAGTACTCCGAGGCTTTGATACTGATATTTCTGTTGAAATGAATGAAATTAAGGTAATAAGCATTCCATCAGTTTTGTTCCAGTGCATGACCCTCATATTTCCTATATTTTTATTACCATTTAATGTATCATAAAATTGACTTTTTATGAGTCATTTTATTCAGAGGGCTTCTGCTTCGACAAGCAGGAGAACTACAATTCGATTTGCAGAATTCAAACAAAGAAGATATTGGCTTCCCTTAATGGTATTTCTTATATATTATCTAGACTCTTTAGTTTCAAAATTTCGTCCGCCTTATGAAGTTGGATTGCATAACAAATTAACGATGATCATTAGAGGCTAACCATTTTTACTAACTCGTATCCTGTAGATTGGAATTGGACTGCTTATCCTGCAACAGCTTTCTGGAATTAATGGTGTTCTTTTTTATTCCAGTACCATCTTTCAAACTGCTGGTATGATATGCTGATTTCTTTTAAATATTCTGAAGTAACGTACTAGGAGCAATATTAGGGAACATTTTGGCTAGAGTTGATATCTCATGTTTACATGATTTTCTATAACACTCTTTTCTATCAGAACCATGAATTATAATTATTAAAGAGAAGAATTCAAATATCGGAAAAATAGCCAAAAATTGTATGGTAAGGAATAATCACCTTAATGATCAGAATATTCTTTAATTGGATCATTCAAAGAACCTAGCTTATTTCCCCTGATAATTTCTTAGGATATTCTCATGTTAGTTATTGATATTATCTTACACACATAAAAAGGCATGTGTTTAGATTGGATTATGCTTCAGTTTTCAATCTGCTATACATAAAATTATCCTTTATTCTCATCATTTCAACACATTAATCAGGAATCAGTTCGAGTGACGCAGCAACATTTGGAGTTGGTGCTGTTCAGGTTTAGCTGAGATGAAATTTGTTAATATCTCTTTTTTCATTCCAATATTTTCAAATCATAACCTGACAAATACATACATGTCATTCAGGTTCTTGCCACCAGTTTAACTTTGTGGTTAGCTGACAAATCTGGTCGCCGGCTTCTCCTTATTGTAAGTCTGATCTTCTCTACCATGTTTAATTATATGTGACTATCTGTTTGGAGGTTTAGAAAGAGAATGGTCATATCTTCCATTTCAGGTCTCTGCAACTGCGATGACATTTAGTCTCTTAGTTGTTGCAATCTCATTCTACATAAAGGTAATAATATGTTTTATTTTTTTTGCTAATATTCACATCATACTGTTCAATCAAATGCATGTGATAGTTAGCCATTTATGTTTTCCTGAAATTTTCTCCCAGGCTAGTATATCAGAAACTTCTTCCTTGTATGGAATATTGGGCATCTTGTCGGTGGTTGGAGTGGTGGTATGTGAATACATCTAAATTCATCATACAAATACTGTTTTTGAATGCTTGTTCCCTAATTTGCATTTTAAACTTCCAATTCTTTCAGGCTATGGTTATTGCATTCTCTCTGGGAATGGGAGCTATGCCATGGATCATAATGTCTGAGGTACCATTTTTGTGGTTTTACATTTTAGCCTTTTAATCCCCAAAGAACAACAATGATACATGTGACAATCTTATCGGAAAAATAGTTAAGGATTTGTTGATATACTTGTTTACAATAGAGCATTATGGTGTCATTTGATTCATGTAGCCAACCTCACCTAATGGATAAAGGCTTGGTTGCTGTTACTCATCTTTACTCTTCTGCCCCTTTAGAAAGACAAATGTCTAGGTGGCTAGTTTATTTCACCCTCTCCCCTTCCCAAAGCGATTTTCGCTCACCTATCAAGTTGTTATCAGTAGGAGTAACAAAGTTAGAATTTCTGACAACCTGAAAACAAATACGCTATTTGGTACAAAAAATAAAAGAAACATACATTTTAGTGTTTGTTTTAACATGCTACAAGTCCAAATTGTACTTATACTAGGTACAGAAGTTTCGAGATGACATATTACCAACTTTAAGATGCATCAATGCTGCAAAATCACATTTTTTTTGTAGATCGTGTATTTCACAAAAGAAAAATGCTTGTATGAATGAATATAACTGTCATGCTTTATGTCGGAAATCCTACATCGGCCGATGATGAGGTCAAATTAGTATATATAATATAAGTGAAAAAGAATATTTATCTTACAAGTCAGTTTTGTAAGATTAAGCATAAATGCCATGTTTTAAGTTGGTATCAGTCTATCCCAACGATTATTGTGGTGTCTATCCGGGCGGCTTGTAATTGGACCATTATCGGATCACCAGCAAATGTATCTGACATTCTTAAGAATTTATTCAAGTTTTTCTTGTGCTGGACATTCTACTTCTGAAATGGAGCATTGAATGATTGCATTTGCATGTAACACAAAATTGGTTGCATTTGAAATCATAGTCAAAGTTAATGTGTTGAATATTGCACATGACAGATTCTTCCAATAAACATTAAAGGCCTTGCGGGGAGTTTTGCAACACTTGCCAACTGGTTCTTTTCCTGGTTGGTTACATTGACAGCAAATTTGCTCTTGGACTGGAGCTCTGGAGGTTTGTGTGCATTGCCTATATATTTTCCTCTTAATATTTTTGTTAATTTCGGTTAACCAGAAGCTACCTTTGTTCTTCAGGTACCTTCACCATATATGCAGTAGTATGTGCCTTTACTGTAGTATTTGTTACCATTTGGGTCCCTGAGACAAAGGGAAAATCTATTGAAGAAATCCAATTGTCTTTCAGATGAAGTTTCTGCTGCTAGCACTTTTCTCTTCTTTTCATAAGCGGTTTTTGAGTTTCAATTGTAATATTGGTGGGGTTATTGTGGGATGCAAGGATTCATTTGATCCTTTGCTTGTAAGTGGCGAATCCTTGGAGGTTTTTGTATGCATTAACATTCACTCTGACCAGTGCTCCTGTATGGACCTTGTAATTGTTCCTCATTAATTTAATTCATTTTTATGTTTTTTTTTTTTTTTACAGTATTTTTGTGTTCTTTTAGTTTGTTAAAAATGGAAACCAAATCAGTATAATTATTTATACAGTATCTGTTTGGGTTTTCATGCATTATCCATAACTATATCTAAAGAAGATATCGCTAAGGTGTTCACTTTTTGAAAGATAACTATATTTTTATATTGTATTTTAACTTTTATTTCCATCAATATATAAGAAGGAAATAGGAAAAAAAAATGTATATACTGCAAACTAATAACTGTTCTCCCTAATAATTTATATAAAATGATTCTGTATCTATATCCCTTCATTACATCAATGGATGATTGCGGCAAGTGGAAATTGTATTATAGTGAATTGGAGCCAATTAAAAAAGATGTACCTAGCTCCTACCTAGGTAAAATTTTTCTCCTTTCAAAGGCTGTTTCAAGTCATGTTTCTTTGTTTGTGGTTGTTATTACAAGTAAAACCACCAGTAATAATATAACAATATGAACTCTTTATTTGGTCGGGTGAATATATTTATCTATCTTTATATATAAAAATTGAGTTACATTCTATTACATTGACATATTATTATAAAACTAATTTTACATATTGTCATGTTAGCATATTTTTTTATGTGGTAAATTTTCTAAATTTTTATTTTCTATCATATCTTTTATTTTTATATATTACATCTTTTCACATTCTATTTAATCTAACTCTCATTTTTTTATTGTCTAATTTTTCTTCCTTTTCTCCTTTATCTTTTATATTACATATTTACATTTAATCTAATTTATCTATCATCCTCTTTGTTTATTTTTCATTTCACATGACAATCTTTGTCAAAAATGAAATATACTACTTTTTTTCCTTTTTTTTCTCCTCTCATTTCTCTACTATCTAATCTTTATTTCATCATGGTACTACTTTTTTCTCTCTTCCTTTTTTTCTTCTCTATTTTTTATATTATATATTTATGTTCTATCTAATCTATTTTTTCTTTGTTTAATTTTCGTCTGACATGATAATCTTTGTCAGAAATGAAATGTACTACTTTTTCTTCCTTTTTTTTTCTCCTCAACTCTCGATATTACATATTTATATTTTATCTAATTTATTTCCTATTCTCAATTTTTCATACATTTAATCTATAATATTATTTTTATGGTCCTTCTATATAGCTTTAAATTGTATTTAATTAGTAAATTAGTAATTATATAAATAATCATATTAATTAATAATTAAAATATTTAATTAAATTAAATTTTTTTTTATAAAAAATAATAACATTTTTTTCGTGAAAACTATAATGTGTGATAATTTAAAATTACGTTTAATATGTAATTATATATGAATTAATGATTTTATTAATTAAGAGATTAAATTTTCAGTTATAAACAAATTAATTTTAATTATAAATAAAATGAAACAATATTAATTGATATTAATTGTAGATTAAAATATTTCACCATTAATTTAATATTTAAGAAATTTAATTTTATTAAATTCTCTGTTTCAAAAAAATAATAAATATTATAGTAATTAATATTGATATTAATATTAATTATAAATTATTATTAAAAAATTGATTTTTCCAAAACCTAATAATTATTATTAATTGAAATTTATGCTCATTAATAAGAAAAATAATAAATTTTTTATTAATATTAATTTTAAACAATAGTAATTTTTTTTGGCAAACCTACCACCAATTAGATTACATATTTCAAAATAATGAATATATGTATATTCTTTCTTATCAATTTATCAATTTGATAAAATATTGAAATAGACTATTTTATAATTTAGTTATAAAAAATATTTATCTGAATATATTACCTTTAATTATGAAGTTTTTAAAAGATTATTTATTTGAATCTTATATTTTTGAATTTGAATTTGAATCTAAAAAAAATATAAAGGATGAAATATTATATAAATATAAATATAAAAAATATTTATATTAATATTTTTTTCTTTACAAATCCTATTACAAATAAGAATAAATTTATTTGTTGTAAAAAAATTAATAACAAACTTATATTACATAATTAAAAAAATTATATATAAAATTTATATATTAACTAACAAAATAATATTTTTTAAATTTAAATAATTTCTTTTTTATTTGTGTATCGCGCTGGCTATCGGTCTATGTCTAGTTAGAGTATATTTAAGGAAAGAAGAAGAAAAGATTAGAGAGTAATTAAGAATATCTCTTCGCTTATGAGCCTGGAATTAAGTGTAATTATGAAAATAAATTGAGTTCTACACGGTAAATGAATATCCTAAAAATGAGGAGGTTATCATGAATTTTCTAATAAAATATAATATTATCCTTTTGTCTCTTTGATTATGTTGTTTGACATTATATATATATATATATATATATAATTTTTTAAACACAACTTTAATTAAATGTCATATTTCACAAACACAATTTACCCATTTTGGAAATCATTTAAAAAAATTACCCATTTCATAAATTTTTTAAAAAAATATTCCTAATATGTAAAAAAACCTTCTTATAAAAGTAAGATGTTTCTCAAAACATTCACTATATTTTTTGGAATTGTTTAAAAAAACGTTTTACTTATTATTTTTAACAAAAGTTAACTTTTTTGCTTATAACAAGAATTGTTTGTGTGAAAATGTATGTATTGATAACTAATCCTTTAAGAGATTTTTCACTCTTTTTTTTTCATGAATGAAGTATGTAATATTTTTAAGTTGACAATTAGATACTAATTTATATTTATAGAATGTGTTTTGGCTAATCAAACATTATTTTAATTATGACAAAAATTTATCTTAAAAATATTAAGTCAACATCTTATATCTCATCAAAATAAATCTTATAATCACTAAACTCAGAAACTTTATAGAAATGTTTTAATTAATAATGACAAATTTCATACTAAGGAATAAAATGCTACCAAGGAGGTGAAAATGATTATTGAGGCATTGAATACATGCATGAACTTAAGCATGTGGGAGATCCTAAACTTATGTTACATTATTGCATATAGTTTGATGAATAATATTGTAAAAATCCTAATGAATAAGTATATCCCTTCTCATATATATATATATATATATAATTATGAAAAGTGTCTTAATTGATTGTCCAGATTTCATATTGTATTATGGTTGATATTATAAGTATTAAAAAATTATTAGATAATGTGAATAATCAATTTTATCCGGACTCACAAAATTAATGAAATGGACATCTACTATGAAGAAGAGGAGCTCTCAAAGTATGGAGGTGACAACAAGGAAGTTTAAAGCAAAAAAAAAATGTTAAGTAGACCAGAACGGGCTCTTCCAAATTCGGAACGGGCCGTTCCTAGTTACAAAAAAGCACAGCAATCCTAATTGAGAACGGGCCGTTCCAAAATGGGAACGGCCGTTCCAAGTCAATTAAAAGGCCTAAATTTCCTTATCTGGAACGGACCGTTCCGAATTTCAGAATGGCCCGTTTCGATTTTAGAACGGGCCGTTTTGAATTTAGAACGGGCCGTTCCAGATTCACATTTAACACATAACGTCCATTTTCAGAACGGGCCGTTTCGATTTTGGAACGGGAGTGAAAACAAATAATTATTAATCTTTCTGCTCCATCTCTTATTCTTCATATCTAAAGACGTTAAATACCTAACTTGAAACACCATTTGTGCTAGTTCGAATAAAAAGAATCCACAAACTAATTCCACCGTAAACAATAGGTCTATAGATGCAAGCTTGATCTTGTGGGGGGCTTTCTCTAGTAGCTCGAAAAAAGCTTCAATATATTACTTTAAAAGTAGGTCAACTATCAACTTAATACTCATAGTTGAATTAAAATATATTCTATATTTTATTTATGTTTTATATTCACTAAATTAGTGGCCATTGTAGGAGACGACGCAGAGGCCATGGTAGGAGATGATGCAGAGGCCGTGACGGGAGAAACTGCTGATGCTACGATGGCAGAGGTTGATGCAACAGAAGAAGCCATGTCAAGCAAAGGCAAAGAGAGAAAGAATGGCTGGAAGAGAAGATCAAGAACCAGAGCAAGGAGAGCAACGAGTAAACAAGGAAGCACTAAGCAAGAAAGTTTGGGCGCAAGAGCAAGAAAGCTTGGGCGCGAAGGAAGAGAAGAAGAGAATGGTGAAAATGATTTTCACCTTAGGGTAAAAAGAGTCTTAAGAGGGTGAATGGGCCTGAAGAAAAACGGGTCCATAAATTTAATTCAAATTTTAAAAACTAAAATTTGAAACAGCCGCCAAGACGTTAATGTACAAACAAAGTTATGGAAAAACGTAAGCATGCGCCGTCAGAGTAATCAATGTCAAATCAAACGGTCAGTGCACTAAATTGATGGTCACAAATAGGTTTTCATCAAAGGTGCTACCAATCAATATCAAGTAAAACAAAATCGAGAAAACATCGAAGAAAAACTCGACATGAATTTAGTTTTCTTCCACTTGGTATGATCATCAAAACTAAATTCCTAGGGGGGCATTTGTTAGAGCCACTCGAAAACTAGTAGAGTCGAAAGCTACATTTACGAGGTTCCTCGAAGATAAAAAATCAACACCTATTGAGAACATATCACAAGTCTTATTTGTTCGTGCTCGGGATATAGTCGAATATAAATCGATCGAGTAAAGCTCGAAAAAGCGGAAAAAGAAGTTACTGGAGGTTCCTGACAGTTAAGACGCACTAAGGTGGTTATTGGGGTCGAATCGAGAAAGTTGAAACGTGGGATGAATAGTTAGGAGAACTTACGATTTAAAGCCACGTAATAAGCATAGTGGATAGCGGTTATCCTTAATGGCGTACATGCACGAAACTAATCGCTCTTGATTGGCTCTATAAATACAAGGGTTATGTACCTTCACAGGGTTGGAAAACTCATACTTGAACTCCCAAGCACTCACCGCCTGCGCATATGACTTTCCTGCAAGGAATTTCTTCTGGGTTTGACCACTTCTTGACCATTTTTATTTTCTCTTTTTGGGATTAGGATTAATGTAGTTCTTCTTC